CTGACAAAGCCTCACAACCCGAAAATTTACAATTTTCAGGTCTTTTTCGCCAGCATCTAACCTAATTTGTAGTTCTTTTTCGGCTTCCCGTCTTTTTATACGGTCTGTCAACGGCAAGTCCTTTCGGATAAAAATTCCCAACACTTTAATTTATGTCCATTCTGTAAAATTAACTCCCTTTCATTTGAATATTCGAATACTACTTTAAGCAGTCTAGATTGATTAGACTTCAAGTTCGCTAGACTACCTAGTCTATACACCTTTATCAAGGTGAGTCCGGGGATATTTTGAGGCATGAGTAGCTGTTTTATCAGGACAATGTCATGCTCAAAACGAGTTTTTGGTTCAGAGCTTTCGCTCTCCTTGATCCTATGAAAAATGACTGATCTGTTACTGTGATCAGCCTTCTATTTTTTGACTTCTTTTGTGGGAGCAGGGTTCCCTTTTATATCGTTTTTCTGTTTCTTACTCACAACCTGTACCCATTCATCAACGTTGCTTGGAGAAGCAACCACAGTCGCGTCAAACATACTGTGGGATTCTGGAGGGTTTTCGATGACTTGGGAGGTCAGGTTTGGTGTCCCTTTAGAAACTGATCGAGCTTTGCGGTTGCGGCTTCTATGTGTTTCTTTCTGGATACCATTTCGAAGACGTGGGACAGAAGAAACTTTTTTCCTTGAGTTTTTTGTGCGGACAGAACTCTTTGGGGACTGTTCTCCCATCTTTGGTCGATGCGAGTCATCTGTTTTCGAACTCATTTTAGTTTACTTCACTCTAGTTTGCGTGTCAACGGAGCGAGTACTTTTTGATGTGTCGCGACCACTCTTGCCAAAACATTTTTTAGCAGCACTAACCAATGAGATGGCCTCGGTTAGCAAGCTGTTAGCATCCGAACAGCACTGTTGACAGAGCCATACGCAACCGTTTGAACGCTGCAGGCGTTAAATTTGTGCAAACTTCGTGGTACCATCCTTTGCACTCATCGCACTGCATGCCGCTTTCAACAGGATAACGACAGCACAGGCGTTGGCAATAACTTTTTTTGCACTGTCCAGTCATTTAAACACGGGTTTTTTTAGAAAGAACTAGATGCAAAAATACTCAGAAACAAAAATAATCTATGACCAAAAAAGTGGAAAACTGTAAATCGTTAGAACCAAAAGTACTAACAGATACTATAAAAAACAGAGTACTCAAAATGACTGACAACAAAACTACTTTAGAAACAAAAACGATAATCTAATCGAATATTTTTACTGAAAGAAACTCAATTAAAGTGAAAAACAGTAGTTTTGATAAGTATAAACGATCAAAACAATAAAATTTACTCAGCGATGAAAAATACCACTGTCTTTTTTGTCATTTCGTTAGGATTCTAGGTATTTGGCAGTGTCCAATGTGTTATAGTCTGGCAACTTGACTGCACTAGTTCTATTCAAGAAGGTAATTATTTGTAGATTTGTATATCTTGTTATATGAGTGAGTGAAGTCTTTTCAGGGCGCTAGGGCCTCTTGATACTAGCAGTTATCACATTACCAGGAAAGATGTTGGCTGGCCGGAATAAAAGAATAATAAAAAGATGGCTTGAGTGTTAAGAGAAGACAATTAAGTTATTTAATAGAACCCATGTAAGTTATGACTTGTCTAATATTAACGTAACTTTGTATGGAAAGCAGCAGTGAGGCAGGTGCACCTTATTCATCGTGGTCGATAATGTAGGCGTTTAGTTTACCTACATTAAAAATAGACATCCTAGAGACAAATAATGATTTGCCCAAACTATAGAAGTTGAAGATTTTTTATTGGAAGATGAAATGGATAATCTTTTCCATACGTGCTGTACAGTAGAGGAGTTGGTGAGCGACTTGTTCTATGTTACTCTATCCTCTCTTGGTTAAAACTAAGCAAATATAACCCACAGATCTACTATTGACTTAATTAAGGAACCACTCAAATGCTCAAAAATTCTACAATAAAGTCGAGATGGTGAATTTAAGTTCCAGTGTTTATGTCTAAGGTTCCACAAGGTTCTATATTAGGCTCTTTGCTTTCCCAAACATTCGCCAACTTGTCTTAGTTCTCATGTGCGCAGACGATATCAAACTGTGTACAGCGGTCAGATGTTTGGGTGATCGACGTACGTTTTAAAGAGGTCTAACATGGCTGAGAGAGTAAATACAAGAATAGTACGACAATCTCCAGAGATGTCAGATTATTTGATTCCAAACAATAGAGAGGACCATGATCACCTATATCTGTGGTCACCACCACACATGAATCTCAAAAAGCGTGATATGGTGAGTCAACCAGAAGTGGTTAGGTGGGTAGATCGACTGTCAGCAACCAAATGTGACCCGAAGGACGTTACAGATCATTTGATAAGAAATGGGTTTATTTTCTTGGGGGTAGAGATGTAAGCATATAAATCAGTATTTGGTCATATTATTCATATTATTAGCCCGATACAATTTCTCGTCTACTGCGTTCTCGTTCAAATGTTCAGACGGGGATTAACATGTAGCATGTAGAGTATCAATGTCAGATTTCGGGCACTTATTCTAAAGTAGGCGATCTAGATCCGTTGCTAAGAGACAGCTTGGACATCAGAGACAGCTACCAAGGAGACGAAGCCAAAGCCCACTCTACTCCTCTATGGATAAAGATTTGTTTTCTGAGCTGGATGGTTTAATCATGGAGCGTTCATCGTTATTCTGAACGAAGTCATCAACAAAATCTTCAGGTAGAAGTGAAGTGTTCGAATTTCTCCACATACGATTAGCAGCTTGTCATATAGACTACGATGCTCATTGGTTATTGTTGCCTTTAAACCTATCATTATTTACTTTTTTATTTTGGTTGCATCTTCCATTGATTTGACTTTCGGTCCTATGTTTGTCCATAATTTTTTTGAATGGATAATAAATTGGATCGATTTCAATGTGTTTATTGGTTGACTTTAGTGCCAAGCTTCTAAAAATTCTTCTGTGTTTTATAAAATACATCAATCCATGGTCTCGACATTTTTCCAGTCGAATGTGTATCTGCAGAATTATGGTCTACTATGATATTAGTACTGCTCTAACAATAAGCCTAATCCTAAAATTGTAGATTTGTCATGATATGACTACCCAATCCACAAGATCTTACGTGGAAGTCACATCGTTGTCTACACCAACTCATTGCATCGTAACAATCACCAATAGGACAATATATTTAATTTGAATAATAGACATACGGTAACATTCAACAGGGACCGCGCCTGCAAGGCCGGGCCATGCCATTCGATCAACCTGAATTAATCCAATTCGTTGTTCCCACATTCTCCATAGTTAGATTTTTCTCCGCGTTTATCGTTGAATATCTATTTTCCCAGTTGTCTCCAGTTTAACTTTAAGGATTGTGTAGTTACGGCCCAATGCCACTACATGTCCACAGTTGTCCACATCCATTGATATAAGTGAAGATACGTCGTGGTGTTCGATCACTAACTGATTTCCATGAAGGCAAAGATCATGAGACCATCCGCTTTGTTCGATGTAGTGTTTTTCTCAGTTAAAAAAATTTATTTTGTAGATGATGTTCAGCTTTTCCTCTTTTGTCATTTCGTCCTTTGGTTTACAGTGATTTCGTTGGTTTGTAAGCTAAATCCATCCCGAAAGGTTTTAACAAACTTGTTGTAGTTTCTGCTGTTCTTTATATATGGTAGAATGATCCATTTGTTGGCTTCTGTACTCGACTTTGTTTTCGATGATGCGTTGAGCTGGTATTATTTAATGAAGTTGATTGGGTAGCCGTGTTTTGAAAGATGGTTATCAAGTGTTTCAGTGTGTTCTCATCCTCTTGAAAAGAGTTTGTACGCAGTTGATTTTGTGACCTCTTGGGTTGTTGTTACTGTATTTAAGAAGTCCATTTTCGTAGGACTACACTTTAGTTCATTATGAGTTAGCCCTGTCTGAAATGCTTTTCAAACCAACCTCGCGGTATCTCTTTAAGCTGACAGCTTTATGGGGAGGCTCAACAACTCTATACACAGCTATGGATTGCTGTCCTTCCTCTACAGCAGCTATGTATAGTGTGCGTCACTCATTACTACCACATGCTGTTGCCTCCGTCTGCATGTTATTATTAAACATTTGTCTGCTCACATTACTTGAATAAAGTATTCCTTCACTTATCTTAACCGTTATCTTATCTCCGCTCCCCCATATTCTAGTTTTATAATCATCCAGATTGCAACAAGCCCTCTCAGTAGTGTGATAGCTGATGATCCTAGCATACCCACTGCCCTAGAACAAACGCACTCATTTATACCAAGAAATAATAACCTGGAATTAACTCCCATGTATACTAAGACTGTTGTGGCTGAACGGTAAAACGACCCATACTGAATGATACCAAAGACCTTGAACCATATACTAACATTGTGAAACGAGACCAATGATTAATCACAATTGATTGATCACTGGGTGGTGGTCAATGTCATGCTTGTTTAGTCCTTATTAGTGCAGACCGAATGCTATCGACCATGTTGCAATGTGGCCACCAGTCTAAGTGACTCGACACTGCGGGCACTATTGTAAGATTAGATGGTGGTTGGAGGTAGTCAACAGGAAATCCTGGAACCGGGTTTCGTGGTACTTGGCACTCGTCAACAAGGTGTACTTGTACTCTTGAAGGAACTGATGCTCCTTGACAGATTAGATCCCGTGTCACTCAGCATCACTAAAGATTATGAAACTCGTTGCCAAAATATTGGATATTTGATGCAATCACATCACTTTCTAAAACTGTTATCACTTCAGTTACAGGCAGATGAATAGAAATAGACCAAGTATTTTGCATAAATTTATGTATTTACTGTATTTGTCTTGAAATTAATGTTATATACATGATGTTGTTTCTCGGTGCTGATTATGACCAATTACGAAGGTCAGTGAAAATATCAAATTCCTGTTGATGGTTGCTTAATTGTGGTTACTAGACTTTTATCTAATAAGATATGACTACAATCAACGTTTTTAGATATACCCTAATCGTTGTAACTCTTCTTCTTACGTCGAACTCAACCATGGCTTGGAAGTCGAGCGGTAGCACACATACAGAACTTATAAACAATCTATTCAGTAATTAGACTTTCCCCTTAACCCTTCAAACAGGAAATCGAGTAATATCATCTGAGATTGTCAGGAATACTATGCTTTCCGTGGATCGTGGGTACTTCGCCAAATCAAATTCTTACGAAGACCGACCATCTTCTATCGGCTATGCCGCGACTATCAGTGCTCCTCATATGGTAAGAATGATGTTTCAAGTTATGCAACACCATTCTAATACCAAATACCTAATAAAAACAGCTTGTTTTGCACACTTTGATCATACAGTGGGGCCAGTTGTATCTTGAGTAGGATACGACTGTCGGATTATTATAATTTTGATAGTTAGTCGGTGATGCGTTCTTTTCTTGTCTACACCCTATCTATCTATCTGGGAAGAGATAAAACAATAGTCCTCTCCTTCCAACTAGGGTTTCTCAGGTAAATGGATGTCCTTATTTTTAAGACCATTACTGTTGTAATTGTCAGCATGAATTGGCTTAGCCAATGCTTAATCTTTAGAATTTGTCATAATATGAACTTAACAATTCAGAAAACCGACTGAGTAATTCTACAGAAATCCTTATTCTTCGTAAACCACTAGGGAGTGAATGATCTCAATGTTTTCAGTTATTTGAATTGAACGGTTGTGATAAGGATGTTTGGTGAGATTTTAATGTATGGACGACCTTCGAATGCTGTTAAAATGGACCTAGAAATATTCATCTGCTTACTAGGATTAGAAGAATGTTATAAGTCGATGCGAAAAATTAGGGTCAGGATTTAGTGTTGGATGCTATTTGGCCACTTAAATACATCAATCTGGCGCTAACGTGCAATACTTGATGTCTTAAATCTGGTTGGTTCGTCCACAAATTATAGTCTCGCTACTGTCTTCAATAATCATTTCAAGACCGTTTGGTTTTCTTTACATCAGTTTATTAGGAATAGGATCTGTCGGAATTTCAAGCAATGATTAGTGACTTATTTGCGGTGAATTGACGTAGTTAAACTTGCATCTACACAGTGGAAGTATTCCACGGTATTAACTGTGTTTTAGAAATAAGTAATATGGAATACCTTCAAGAATTTTGAATACCAATTTTTTCTAAGTACCTCTAGGGTTCCTTAGGATTACTGTCGTGGAAGTTGTTGTAATAACCTTAGAACTATGAATTATTTTAGCAGACTGGTTTACGTTAACCAGTTTAAGCATATTTTTTTACGTAAATTCTGTCGCATTGTAATATAATCTGATTAAGATGACTGTGAAAAATATGATGGGATTTATTCCCTTTAGGCCGATATATTGCTGATGGACTCTTAGTTTTTGATTTGGTCTACAGAACCAAAACGACCTTACATGTGCTAAGGCAGTTCGTTGATTTCTGTTAACCTAAATATATGTGTCTGAAATCTTGTCATAAAAAGTCTGGTGGTTGTAGCGTTACAAATAATATTGTATTTTTCGCCAAAATTATTCATCACCTTAAGGTGTTAATTCTCAATCCTGCGTCAATGGTTTTTATGCTATTGAAGTGTCAGAACTCGAATCACTAGACTTTCGTATGAGTTGTATCTAGTTGGAATATTTCAGATTGGATCTTGAAAAAATTATTTCATCAGATTAGTATGGCTTTGTTTCACCCTTTGATTTTCACAATTCAAATAGCCACTAAATCCTCGTCCTTTTAGGAAACATTAACCCTCAAAATGAGCAAGACCAATAACCATCCGCGTAATTAATGTCTATGACTATATCATTTTTAAAATGAATGTCTTTTAATTGAAAGAGGCTTATTGGTTGAAGAACCTGTCTTTTAACCAGTAACTGGTGAGTTCGAATCCTCCATTCACTTTTGGGTAACAAAATAGTACCACAAGAAATGCAGCATAGAAATAATATTGGAATTATACCCGGTTAATAAGTTACATTCAATTAGATGTTGGGGGGTTGGGATCTTAAAATAAAGTTGAAATATTGTTAAGCAGTTCATTTTTGCTGATTCCCAAGTCTCTAAAGTCAGCCTAATTAGTCAGAGGTGACATAGAAGTGTCGTTACTTCTTACGTTCCACTAACTATTGCATTCATCCCTATCAAAGTATTTTCATCCACATTTTAAATCTTAGTTGTTATCATTTTCGAACTCCTCCGTATCGATCTTTGGTTATACTGCAAAGTGTGCATGTAAAGGTTAATTTCTCTATATCTGACTCCAAAAAATATTATCTCGTTAACTGAGTATTTAACACAGGCTAAATTTCCTAGTAGAATTATGAATTTACTCGAAATTATTCAAAAGTACGAACACAAGTTGTAGAAATAGTACAATGTTAATGATTAATAAAACTTCACAAGTACGCATATACCCAGCACACAGGGAAACGAGTGAATGTTAAAAATCCATGTATATTTGTGAATGTTAATTAGTTGTGGATAAATTACTCATTGACTGTGTGTTATGACCAATGAGAGAATAGATAAAGATTGATGTGCAGACACGCGCTCAATCAGACCCACACAAAATTTTATGCAATGGATTAAATGTCTGAATTACAGTGAGCAGACAAATAATACAATAGTTGAATGAGCTTACTACATAAGCTCCCATCCAGAACACTGATATTTTTTAAAATAAAACTTTTAGTAACATCTATGTTCGACACAGAGATAAAAAAACTATCTCTAAGGTAATTGTACAACAAAATGTAATAAGTAAGTGCTAAGTTGAAATGACAGTTTGTATGTGTTGCTAAGTATCTATCTGGCCAGTGTACTCTTCCTGATGTTGTAGTTCCTGTTGCTGTTGAACTTCGGTGTGAAGTATTGTTTGTTTCAGATAGTTTGTGTGGTGCTTTCTCTGCTGCGGATTTAGACGATTTTTTGGTGTGCCCCCAAATGCCCTGGTACGGCCGAGAGTGGGGAGAGTCCGCTCTCCCTCTCGAAATGCTCTCACATGGCCACGCGTATATAGCCTGTGCCAGGGAAGTCTTACTCACTGCCTTCTCGTGGCGGGGATGATGTTTACGAAAATGAGAGGACGAAAAGCGAATGTCCGGCACTTCAACCGGATCCCAAATCAATGGTGCACATGGACTGGCTCCAGTATCCTGAAGGAACAAATAGCGTATGAACCAATCGTTGGTCACCGGCTACCATGGGACTGCATCTCCTTACGATGCTCCACTGCGTTGTGGATCGGACCTTCAGGTCGAAGGCTCGGGGTGTGGCCCCCTAAGAAAACCACCTGTTTCGGTTTGGGCACCCGTGCAGTATCACAGCCCTCACACAAATCAATTGAGATTCGTGTGGCGCATATGTATTTGGTGCCTCCTTGTACCAATACCTATGTGTTAAAATAAATAATTTTTGGTGTGCTCTAAAAACGCTGGATTTTCTCCATAGACCACAAAAGGTTTTCTTACTCCACGTCGAGCTTTTGATGTTTTGTCATACGTTATGGGGCGGTGATGCCCACGGACATGGACTCCAGTGTCCTGAGGGAACAAATGGCGTATGAACCAATTGTTGGTTACCGGCTGCTATGGGACTGCATCTCCTCACGTTTCTCCATTGTCTTGGGTGTCAAACGCCCTTCCGATAGTCAGTGGGAATCACCGCTCCATAAGGTACCTAAGAAAAACTCTCCCGAACTTACACCTTGTGGCGGATATAGAGCCAGACTATACCAGACAGATATCCTCTTCCACACTTACATGACTTTACTAATGGTCCATCTGATGTGACGATTTTTTCCAAAGGTTGATCTCGTCCGTGTCTAACATCACATCCAATTCACCCGGACGACGTTCTCAAAACAACTATCACTACCCCATTCGGGCTATATGAATTTGTTCGCATGCCTTTTGGACTATGAAATGCCGTACAAAGTTTCCAGCGTTTTACTGATCAAGTGGTACGTGACTTACCATTTGTATAGGCTCAAATAGACGACTTGCTTATCGCCAACAAAGATGAAAGTGAACATTTAACTCATCCAAAAATGCTTTTCGAGAAGCTAAACGAGTATGGATTAGCAGTCAATCCTGACAAGTATGAGTTTGAAAAGCAATCCCTCACCTTTTTAGGTCACGTACTCGATAATCAAGGTATCGAACCAGTTCCTGAGGGAACACAAACCATCAAAAATCACCCTTTACCCGATTCACTCAGAAAACTACGACATTCTCTCGAGATGATCAACTTTTGCGGACGTTTTATTCCGAAATGTGCTGACATAGCGAAACCACTAACTGGTTTATTAAGGGGGCGCGCTAAATCATTAATGATGGCACCACAAGTATTTGAATAGTTGAAAAGCGCCTTAAGCACAGAAGCATTGTTTGCACGACGAAAGGTCGATGCACCTTCAGCAGTAATGACTGATGCTTCTAATGTAGCAACGTGTCAACCAACAACGGCAACACCTTGCATTTATCTCTAAAAGCTAAACGCAACACAAACAAACTGCATCTATCAAGATAACAAACATTAGGTTTTTTAGTTTTTGAGAGTAACACTTTTCAAGTAAGCTTATTAGTGAATTATTCTAAGTTCAATGCACCATGATCTTTATTTCTAAGCATTACGAATTAGGCATCAAATAAATATGACTACCTATTTCGTTAAGCATTTTTCATCATCATAGAGTGTTGTGGTATTAGTTTAATTCAGATGTTACGTACATTGGCCTATGAATGTGTGTTGACGTTGAAAAAATAGTCTATTACGTAACGGTCATGTCGTTTGTATAGTTCACCATAGAGCATTCACTTACTGATTTTTATTACTAACATCGCAACTAGTTGGTTAAAAGCTTGCGTCCTGCTTCATTTAATAAGGTTTGTTCAATTAGGTAGTACTATTTTGTTGTTCAGTCCCTATTTCTCATAACCTTATGATATGTGTACTCATGAGTGCTGCTCCAGGTTGTTATTTATTTACCATCGAACTGACAGTGTACTATCTGAGTTTTGATTAGGATCATGAATTGATCAGTATTAAACCGCAATGGAAAACCTGAAATTAATGGACGGCTTTTTTGTCTTAGCTTGTAACTCCTCTATAGTGCGCTCCCACGTCCCTCTACGCAGTACTCGAACCGAGGACCTTCGATCTCTCACGCGAATACTTAACCTCTAGATCACTGAGCCGGCATCCAACGGTGTTAGTGTCTAAATTCAACCAATCTACGATATTACGCGATCATTTTCCATTGTCTTCGGTTTAATTGCCTCACCCGACAGGGATTCACTCCACTGGTCTCGGCTTCTCACTAGAACTGTGACAATTACCTCTCAAAACTCACTAATGAGTGCATGTCAGTATGGTGTTTTCGAGATTTTTGAGCTTTGATTGAGATCATGAATTGATGATTGTTAAACCTCTATTGAAAGCCTGAAGTTGTTCGAAAGCTTTACTTTATATTTGATTTCTTTTTTAAAATGTGTAGCATGCTTATGCTCTGGAAGCATTAAGAGATCATCTCAAACCTGGTGCCCATGCTTTAGATGTTGGATCAGGTAGTGGATATTTAACGGCGTGTATGGCTCTGATGGTAAGTTTATCTCGCTTTACTGAGAAATATTATTGTCATATATATGTCATCGTTATATCCTTCACTTACAAAGTGAATATCATGTTTATGCATATATAATGTGTATAATTCCGTTACTCCCATTCCATATAATTTCACTAGTCTACCAAGTTCATTTTGTGTACTAGACTTTAAGCTTTATTTATTATGACTAGTTATACTATTTGGCTCTTCACAATCAACCAGATGGTATGAAGTGTGAACCTAAAAGAGCAAGTATTCCAACCAACATAGCTCTATTGAGTCATCAAGACAGTAAGACTTGACCATCACGTCAAGTTAGCAACCACATTTATTACGGTACCAGCTACTGATTGTAACCATCAGGCAGTTATTTTTTGTTCGAAAGCATAGTAAATCCCTTTATTTATTTATTTATTTATTTTAACACATAAGTATAGGTACAGGGAGGCACCAAATACATATGCGCCACACAAATCTCAATTGATTTGTGTGAGGGCTGTGATACTGCCCGGGCGCCCAAACCGAAGCAGGTGGTTTTCTTAGGGGGCCACACCCCGAGCCTTTGACCTGAACGTCTGACCCACAAGGCAGTGGAGCATCGTGAGGAGATGCAGTCCCATGGTAGCCGGTGACCAACGATTGGTTCATACGCCATTTGTTCCCGCAGAATACTGGAGCCCATGTGCACCATTGGTTTGGGGTCCGGTTAAAGCGCCGGAAATTCGCTTTTCGTCCTCTCATTTTTGTAGACAACACCCCCGCCACGAGAAGGCAGTGAGTAGGACTTCCCTGGCAGAGGCTATATACGCATGGCCATGTGAGAGCATTTCGAGAGGGAGAGCGGACTCTCCCCACTCTCGGCCGTACCAGGGCATTTGGGGGCAGTAAATCCGTTAGTTAAACTTAAGTGCTTTGGTATAAAATTTCATCTAACTAGAATAAACGTCGGAATAGTTCTTTCAAATTACTATCTCAAAAAGCTGATATTGATATTTTGGAGGTCATAATTGATCCCAGCTGCCTAATTTAGTATGTTATCAACTTTTGTTACAGACGAAAAGAATTTAATTTGGTGACTTATAACACTGACTAATCGTAGTTACTCTTATATATCGCTTTCTTTCCTTTTATATCTCAGTAAACAAGTACATACCCGTGTACTATTTTTGGTGGAAAGGTTAGGGACATTAATATACTGTTTAAACTTCAATAGCTTTAGTGAGTTTGAACTTTAAACCCACTAGTTTAAGTAATTTAACTACTAAGTTATTGCTTTATAGTATCATCAACAGGCATAATTTCAAATAGATAAATAAAGTATAGCCATAAAAAAACAACTCTGCAAATATAAGTTCATGGTTATAGTACTAATTCTAGTAAAGCATCGTCATTACTCTCTATTTGTTTGTTTCTTATCATATCCTTTCAGTTTCTTTTGATATACTCCTATATACCTTTGAATAATGTGACAATTCAAACTGATATTCTATGTAGTTGAAAGGGTTTGGTGGAGAATGTTTTAATTTGTAAATTATATTCCCAAATCTATCTCAGTTGGTTTACTATTAAAAACCAAGGGGTACTGAGCATCTGTTTATATTTTAGTATGGGACTCCTCAGCAGCGCTCATCCACAACCCTACTAAGGGTCGAACCCCAGAATCGTCAGGTCTCGCAGCGAATGCCGAACCATCAGAATTACTGGGTCAGCGTTCAGTGGTATTATTCGGAATATACAATATAACCCAACGATTATTCATTGCCACTAGTGATAACTGTTTCTGTTATTTGGTAATTGTTTCTAACTTAGTAAGACATAATAAAATGAATGTTCTTATACATATTACAAAGTTTGGTTAATATAATAAACAATTATAATTATAACCTAAAGACTGACGGTTTTATGAGTTTTAAATAATTCAGTATTGTTGAATTTTTGTAGTTATGGATAGTTCCATTATTTTTTTTTCAGAAAACCTTACTCTATAAATTAAATTTGTCGTAAAATATTCATTTGTTTTACGTTCTCTAATTTCGATATTAAGGTAGGCCCTACAGGTGTTGCTGTAGGCATAGAACATATTGATGAGTTGACTAAATTTTCTCTGTCAAATGTTGAAAATTGGTTTAATCATAGCCAAAATGCCCGATTATCTGGAATTGAATTAGGAAAACAACTTAAACTTGTTACTGGTGATGGTCGTGAAGGATGGCCGTCAGATGCACCTTATGATGCAATTCACGTAGGTGCAGCGGCTCCAGTTATTCCTAATGCAGTAAGTTCAGAGATATATTTTGTAACTTAAAATTCATGAACATTAAAAAGTTGTGTTTCTGGATGTATGTTCACTTTTTATTTATATCAACTTGAATGTTATTAGTTTATGAATAACTCATCCTCTTAATTGACTACTTTATTCAGTTTGGCACAATCTTACAGTGATCACCTCTATCTGTTAAACTATGATTCATCAGAGGCTGAATTTCTGAGTGTTTATAAAATATGCATTTAATCAAATAATTATTATGTATTACTCGAGATCTATGCGATAACAACAATTGGTGATTGTAGACGTTGAGTGGCATTTCTCACAATCACAATAACACAGGCGTATTCACTCTTCATTTTCCTCTTGATCTTAAGTTCCAATATTCCTTCACACATACATTTTCATCCCTTCTTGAGCAGTATTTGAAATCCTTATTGTTTCTCACTATTATTGCTACTAAAGATTATTTATACTACTTTTCTATTCATCTTTTTAAATTCATTTGATCGTGCTATTGTGGTGTGACCAGCTGACCTAGCGGACATTTGTACCCTGCTCTACGTTGATTTCAACTCACTGACTGGTGTGTTTCCCTCATTTTTTATATCGTTTTTATATTTATTAATTCAGCTAAAAGAACAATTGAAAATTGGTGGTCGTTTAATTTGTCCTGAAGGACCAGAAGGTGGAAATCAAGCATTAGTTCAAATTGATCGTTTGCAAGATGGCTCCTTTCAAAGAAAATCTTTAATGGGTGTGATTTATGTTCCGTTAACCGATAAAGATCGACAAGTTGGACCGAGGTAAGACTTGAATTTTTTGAAAGATGCCCATATATATCAATTGTAAGTATTTCAATCATACTAGAAGTCAGTTGCTACTCAAACAGTTTAGTGACAATGTCTGAGACTGAAGCTGGGTTAAACAATATTTGTGTTAGGGAAATGAGCTTATTTTGTTTTCGTTGGGTCGGGACCAAATAGATTAGTAGTTAAAACATTTAGGCTATAGATTATTATTATTATTATTATTATTATTATTATTATTATCGTATTGCATATACACGTTTACTGTTTACATCTACAAGGAAATTTATCCATGACATATTATGATTACGCATATATGCATCCAACAGTGGATTGCTGTTTTATAGGTTGAGTTCTTGATATTGTCTCTTGATTTTATCTTTTATATTATTCTAAACTTTTTAATAAGTCGATTGAAATAACTACTATTAAGTATCTAACGGTTCTGAGGTGTTCAACTTGTTTGAAATTATTTTTCACGGCTAGTTTTTCCAAGTAGTATGTAGATTGTAGGTGTAGTGTTAAAATAGAAAGTTGTAAACTAAAATAAAGCAATTGTCCAATCCTCTCTAGTTTTCAATGGTTATCCATTAAAGTCACTGCGTGGTGTAAATTATCTCCAAAGTCAGTGATATATATATATATATATATATATATATATATATATATATATATATATATATCCCATACCTCGACTCATATTATTAACTGGTGTAAAAGTTGGAAGAAAGTTAGTAGTGGCCAAACGAAGACGTGGCACCAATCCATGAAGTCATTAACTGCTGGATTAAGCCGTGTTGTGTTAAGTACAGATCACCTGGTTGGTATTTGCTCGATTATAGTGACCAAAGATTGTGAAGACATTGGGTGAAATGGTTCAGAATTGATCATAATGGCTAAAGTGAATTCACCATTTATCTTCTTATAAACTTCGAGTTTTAGTATTCCTCCATACATGCCTTTTTTTATTCCTTTATTAAAACCATATATTAAGTATTTAGCCTTTCTCATTATCATTTTTACCACATTATTTTGACTCCACTATGGTATAGTAATTTAAGCTGGCGTATATATATATTAGGTATGAGTATCGTTTCTTCAATCCAAGAATTCCTATCTCTCTACTTTATCAATTTGCATATCAGAGTTGAATACATACTCCTTTTTTGGCAAGTTATGTATATTTCCATGTCATAGTATCTTATTTTGTTCAAAATGTGAATTTGACAAGTATTCATAATAAACATATCATTTTCTGGTGTTTTGTTTTTAAGCATACACTTTTTCGAAATCTTCTGATATATCCGAAATGAAATATTTTATCCTATATCATCGTATTCGTCCTTGCTACTCAGAATTCAAACTTTCCGACTCAGTTCATAATTAAATGCGCCTAAGTTAATAAGTCGCAATTCATCACAAAGAGTGTAAACAATGCGTTGGCGGACTTTTGAGTTTTACTGATTGCTATTTCTTTCTATTCGGAAATCACTAATCAGGATGCCTGAAGATAAAGATCCTAGAGTTACAAAATTAACGGGATATTTGTACCAACCACTTACACTAATGGTAATCATGTGCTTACTTACTTACGCCTGTTACTCCTAATGGAGCATAGGCCGCCGACCAGCATTCTCCAACCCACTCTGTCCTGGGCCTTCTTTTCTAGTTCCATCCAATTCTTGTTCATTTTTGTCATGTCTATCTCCATTTCTCGGCGTAATGTGTTCTTTGGTCCTCCTCTCCTCCTTCGGCCTTCCAGATTCGATGTGAGGGCTTACCTTGTGACGCAGTTGGATGCTTTCCTCAATGTGTGTCCTACCCACTTCCAGCGCTTCTTCGTGATTTCTTCCTCCACTGGGATCTGATTTGTTCTCTCCCACAGTAGGTTGTTGCTAATAGTGTCCGGTCAACGGATCCGAAGTATTTTGCGTAGACAACTGTTAACAAATATTTGTATCTTCTGGATGATGGCTTTCGTAGTTCTCTAGGTCTCCACCCCATACAGTAGAACTGTCTTGACATTTGTATTGAAAATCCTGACTTTGGTTTTGGTTGTCAATTGTTTTGAGTTCCAGATGTTATTCAGTTGTAGATATGCTGCTCTTGCTTTGCCGATTCGCGCCTTCATATCTACATCGGATCCACCGTGTTAATCGATGATGCTGCTCAGATACGTAAAAGATTTTACATCCTCAAAATCCTCTCCGTCAAGTGTGATTTGATTGGTGCATGCTGTGTTGTATCGAGGAATATTGCTTTTCCCTTCTACTGCTGCTACACTGGTCGTCTTCTTCTGCATTTGTTGTTGCGTTTGCGATAGAAGAGCCAGATCATCTGCGAAGTCTAGATCATCCAATTGCATCCTAGCTGTCCACTATATCCCGTGCTTCTTTTCAGATGTTGACGTCTTCATGATCCAGTCGATCACCAGAAGAAAGAGAAAGGGTGAGAGTAAGCGACCTTGCCTGACACCGGTCTTTACTTCGAATGACTTTGTCAACTGCCCTTTATGAACGATTTTGCAGTTTAATCCATCATAGGAATTCCGTATGATATTGACTATCTTCTGAGGCATGTCGTAGTGTCGAAGAAGCTTCCATAGGGTTGTTCTGTCCACGCTATCAAATGCTTTTTCGTAGTCAATGAAGTTGATATAGAGTGATGAATTCCATTCAATTGATTGTTCCACAATAATCATGTGCTTACTGGTGATTAATTTTGAGAGGTGATCCCAAAAGTTCTATTGAGAAGTTGCAATTAGTGGATTTGAACTGTATCGAGTATGAGGAAGTTACTCACCAATTACAATAACGCGAATTTATTAAAGTTAAACATGCTAGCTGGTGATATCTATCCAAACAAAGGATAAATTACCCAAGTTGATCGTAGTGTTCATCTACAAATTCAGCTGCTCCTGCGTAGATAGCTATATTGAGTGTACCACCAGTCAACTTGACCAATGGATGAGTGAATACCTTTCAGCTTGGTTTGGAAAGGACCAGAAAGAGACAATACATATCTCTATCTTGCCACACTTGGTTGACAGTGAGCATATTGTAGTTATGTAATCTACTGCATTGTGATCGCTAACTCACAAATTCCATTGATTAGTTTAAAAAAAACTTAGACATAAATATTAAAGTGGAGCATGATAACGGTCTAGTTGAAAACAATATATCTGTGTTGTTCTAATTTTCATAATGTAAATATCTAATATTTTAAAACCCTAAAAATACCCATATTCATTAAAAATGCACATAATCGATCTGGAAAATCTTTTGCAAAGGAAATCAACTGTTAACAGCGTACCATTGGTAATAAAATCACGATTCATGGATTATATTAAAATTGTTGCGAAAATTAGTCCCGAGAAATTAGGGACAGAACTAATGAAATCACTCGAACATCAAAAACCAGAAAGAAAGTTCCCTCTTGACCCAGAGTGGTACGTTCATAATTTTCCCAGTGTTACGTTAGACACAGTGTAATTAGAGGATTTATCACTGTCCTAGATTCTGTGACTATGGGAATAAAATAAATCAACTAGATACCGATGTGCAACTTGAGAATTTATTTTCATAAACAACCTCACTTGATTACCTTAATAGGTTTAAGACCACGTTGGTTGACATCTGCAGACAATACAAAAATAGTAAATATACCGTGAAATCTCCACTTACCAAACAGCATCGAAATATCTTACATATGCTTGGAACAGATAACACCCCGATCTTAAGCAAATCGGACAAAGGAGGAGGGCTAGTTCTAATAAACAAAACTGATTGCATCGATAGAAATGAACTGAATTTTGAATGATCCGACTACATTTCAAAAACCCAGCGACGTTAAGGATGTAAATATGAAAACAGAGAAACAACCAACTAATTCGTTTAGGGAATTAAAAAATAAAAGAATACTTCAAACATTCACGATTCACTTAAATACATTGAATAGAACAATCCATGACTCTATGGCTTACCCAAAGTTCACAAGTCAGGACTTCTTCTACGTCCAGTTTTAGATATGGATAATTCACCATACCATAAAACTCCAAAGCGGTTAGTTCGAACCCTGGATCGCCTACACTAACTAGTAAACTAAAGCGTTAAAGACGTTTTCAAATCCATTTTCAAGGTGGAACTTAGATAGGAAATGGATGATATCTGTAGATGTTGCTTCCTTGTCCATCAACGTACGATTAACTAAGACTATTGATTTTGTGAGTCGGCAATTACTTAAAGAACAGATCAGTATTGGAATTTCCAAGGTCAGCCTCAAAGAATTTCTTCTGAAATGTACAATGAACGTTCATTTGTCTTTAAAAATACATATTACATATAAGTTGATGGAATAGCGATGGATTCATCACTAGGTTCTATCCTTGCTGATTTCTTTCTTGCAAATCTATCTATTATCGTCGATCAGAACATCGAAAAGAAATCTTATAGCTACTTAATAATGAACTGTCAGCAATCAAATTTACTTGTCAAGAGGAACTTGATGACAAACTACATTTCCTCAACACTGTTAGACATAGAAGAAAGTGGATTTATCGGTAGAGACGTGTATGGGGAAAGTTCTTCAGCAAACCGGTACACACACTTTTCGGGCTTTATACCCATTCATTATAACAGAAGCCTAGTTAAATGTCTTGAAAATAGAGCTAGGAGGATATACTTAGATAACACTATAAACAACGAACTAGAGCTTAATTATAATATGTCGATTAAAATGGGTTATCCACATGGTTTTCTGAAAAAAAACACTTGCATGTAATAAACAGGAAAGTAGAGACATCAACAGCTAGTAAGAAACCTCCTTTCCTGAAACTGCAATTCAGCGGAGATATAGCTGGTGATTTGCTATGAGATAGACTGACTAGAGTAGTGGAGAGAACGTTATCAACCTGACCTGTTGTGATTCCTCAAGTAAAGGATAAGTAAACTGGTTCTGCCACATCTGTGTGTATCTACGATTTCAGCAGCTCTTGTAGAGAAAGTTATATTGGACGTACAACCGGACAAGTAAGCCATTGAGTTAGTGAACATATCTCTTCGTTCTTAGGAATGGATGTCGTCATAACCATATGCAGCTATATTCTGTCACAATTGATCGATAGCGGCCATGTAGTAGATAAGAATAGATCTTGTAAAGTGATTTACCGTACCCCTACAAATTTTCTTTATGGGATTTGATCTCATCGTTTACACATAGCAGAAGCTATAAAAATTCGAGCTAACAACCCAAGTCTTTGTATTCATAAGAAATTTGCAACATCTCTATATCTTCCTTGGTCGAATCAGCCTTAACAAAAGATTTTATTTATTATTTTCCATACTCTTTGTTCATTAACTTTTCTTCACTCCCCAACTTTTTCGAATATACGCACTACTGTCCAATTATCTGAACACTTCTCATTACGTAATCTTATAGTTTTGATGAAAGTTACTTCAGCATGTATATATATATATATATATATATATATATATATATATATATATATATATATATATATCATGTAAAGGTTAATCGCTCACCACAAGACTTAAAGGTCCCGGATTTTTTCCCGGATGGAGTTCGTGGACGTGTACTACAACACCAGAATTACTATAGGCTTATTTAGGCGCTTATATAATTCATTCATTAAGTACAGATTTGCGCATTATTATTGTTCAATAGTTGGAAATTGAGTTTAAACCATTTGACCACCTCTTTGATATTAAAGGTTATCTTCAACGTTTTTAGTGTTCTTTACCTTTTATATATTCACTATTTACAGACATTTTTTCGTTCATTTAGTAGGCAAGTGCTGATACATTTTTATATTAAAGACTCTTATAATTCATCAGTAAAATTGGCCGAAAAAAAGTAAAACCATATCATCAGTTAATTTATGACTTTCCTTTTTACCGGGTTTTTTTAAATCTGAATGATACCTTTAAACAAATAAGTGGAAAATTCTCCGCATAACACACCTGAAGCTGACTAAATTAAGACGACTATTTCGACTCTCTGAAATATTTACATGTTAATGTTTGCTAGTGTTCTGTTATATAATTCAAATGGTTTAGTTGCGTAGCTTTTATTGTTATTCTGGGTAACATCTTCAACGCCTATGTTATATAGAAGTGACCTTTTCAGTTACTCGCCAAGTGTTACATCACTTGATTCCGATGATCTTTTTTGATTGACTATGATATAAGGACTCGTAGCTGCAGCGCTACCAATAATAAGTAAACCGTAGATTTCGACACGTTTTGTTAGTGAAAAATTCGTTGTCCTGAAGAGAGGGAAAGTCGAAATTACTCATAAATCGATTGATAACAATTTCGACGACATAAAATTTACAAGAAAGAAGCACAAAAAATTTTCATGCTTAGACGTTCTAATTAACAGAACAAACACAAGAACTTTGGAAACCAAATCACATAAATTAGTTATTAAACTACAACAGTAGCAACCCAACACCACACAAAATAGTTATGTTCGGACACTTTAAAGAGGTCAAAGTTCACTGCAATATTCGCGCGACACGAAAAGTTAGAGAAGCTACTTTCCAATATGTCTTCCATAGGAACGACTGCCCCCTAGCAAACAAACATCGTCAAAATACCAACCCTGGAAACTATTGAACAGATCATTCTACCCATATAAAAGAAATATTTAACAAAACGTTACAAGAATTCTAAAACCGTTTAAAATCAGACCCTAACAAACCAACTCAATCACTTCATTCCATTCTGTGTAGACTAAAAGATGCAGCAAGAAAATGATGATCAACAAAATATGTTGCACCACCTGCAAGTAATATTAAATTGGACGAAGTGGGAGCTCTGTTCATCTACCCATAAATGAACACTGACTAGTGATGTGAAGGTATGTTGTGCTATCCTGATATCAATACGTTCAGACAGCCATGGACATTAACTGGGTTTAAGGGACGTTGAAATTCTGCATTGGGGAAAATCTAAGAATGCCAGGGAATTTCTAAGAGCATTGTTTTCAGACCAATTATCAACCAACAGACACATTGAAGTAGACTCGATTTATGAATCCATATTGGGAGGGGTTAATTAATCGCAAAGTTAGAGGCTAACTGACGAAGACAGTTGATGAGAATATAAGGATAAATGGAGACAAAAATCTACCACAACAGCCAATCACAAACTGCCATCAGGACGAGCTGATATAAAACCTGTAAAGTAACTGGAAACCTACGTGAGGTAGGCTCTGGAGATGCTGTCAAGAATGGGAAAAATAGCTCAGAAATTAAACTATCTTGTTCAGAGAACACTACATCAAAAGCGTCAACCTTAGCTTCGAATATATATATATATATATATATATATATATATATATATATATATATATATATTAGTTCTGCAATGAATAATAACTAGCTTAGTTTAAAAAAAGATCATATTTGAGTTGGTAAACTGGGCTACATTAGTCAACTCATAGCACAGATTAACACAAAAATGACCAGTTCAATTTAGTCTGATAGGTAAATGATTGTACCGACAAAAAATACACTGGGTAAAAGTTTATAGCAAGACAAACTAATTACTCATGACTAACACAGTTCTAGTATTCACAAATCTCATAAGAAGTTGTAATCCATTATTACTAGTTAGTTTTTCCTTTGATTATATTTTATCCTTACTAGAATAAGTTTCGTGGATTAGATTAGATCATAAACTGATAATTAGCTAGACAACCTTTGAAAATATGGAAGGACTGAACGGCCGTTTTATCTTTTTATCGACTTTCTACAATCTTCATAAATCCCTCTATACTAATAATAATTGTGTCCACTGGTGACTAGATTCAAGATGTAACCGATTGATTTATAGCTAGAAGTCTTGATCAGTGGAGGTCAATCACACCGGATGTGAGACATTCATCCAACACATTCGACGGGAAAGGACTACGCAATAACATGGACTGATTAAATTTAGACCTGTACACTATTGGACGCTATTGTGTTAGTTTAAAGGTTAAGCATTCGCGCTCGTAACCGCTGATCCTGATTTCGATTCCTGGATCCGGGTTTTAGGATGAACATCACTTAGGAGTCTCACATTTCCTTCATATTCGCTTTTTATTTGTTAGTTTGATATTCGCATTTGTTGTATTTTTTCACATTTCTTTTCTCTATTTTTCTCTCCCCATCCAGGCGGTGGCATTAAATCTCATCATTTTTCTTAACTACTGTTATTAATTTGTTTTGTTTTTTCGCTCACAGAGATCAACCAATCATTATCATTTCATCACCAACACAATCATCACCCATGCATATTTCTTACCATAAAATATTTACTGTATTCTTATGCTATATGAATGTGATTTCATTGATAAGGAGCACTGTTAAGTAATTGACAGCTTCAATAATGAACACTATTTGTTGTTTCTGTGTTAAAATGTGAAAACCTATTCTACTTTTTCTGGGGGGGGAGGTGAGAGAAACTAAACTAACAAATCGTTTTTACTCAATGTGCTTCTTTACAAGTTACTATACCTCACCATGATTTCGGTCTGCATTTAAATCATGTTTTCATTAATGAGAATGATTATATTATTATCAGTTCGATCTCTATTGTTTTCATGTCCTCTCGGGGTTACCGCCTCCTCCCCCCAATATTCATCTTACTTTTTTGTCTATTGGCTAGTTATTGCTACTAATTATCTTCATATTCATGTAGTAATTGATTAAATATTTTTTTTACTGAAAAAACTTATTATAGAGACATAAGATGACTTATTTATATATACATTATCATTTTGACATTTTATGATGACATAAATTATTTATTTTAACCTGTCGCATTAATGATGTGTTTTATTTATCTTTTCTGCATTCTTTTCATCGCTTCCAAGTCTATCATGAAAATGTATATGTGTGTGCATGCACGTTTTTAGAGGTTTGACATATGCTTTATTATACGCTTTGTAACCAAAAAAATAGTTGATATGTCGTCTTTAGTTTTTTTATTTTTACGTTTAATTATGCCCGTTTTGTTAGATTCCTAGTTACAAGTTATAGTGATAAAGTTGCGTCATTTTCCACAAATGAGGAATTGTAGCATAGTAGTTTAACTAACTGGCTTTTCAACAACTTTCTTACCAGTTTGAATCCCCGCCCAAACCAGCTTTCGTTTAAAACTTCTGATCATTGATATTATTATTACTACTCCTTTCACAATAAAATGTCCAACTTAACTCTGAATACACAAATCTCTTGTTACTGAATTGCATTCTATCGAGTTATAAGTTGAAATAATCTGTTTTTATAAAAAAGTTGGATTTTCGTTTAAGTAGCAAATGGTGTTGTAAAAAATACGGTTTATAATAATTTACTATTATCATTTAAACACAAATATTAGTGGAGAATATTTGTAGCTCATGTGGATGATTTTCATGTGGTTTTGTTCTCTGAGCTGGATGGTTTGGTCTTGGAGCTTTCATAGTTATTCTGAATGACATCAGCACAAACTTCAAATAGAAGTGGTGTTCAAATTTCTCCATATGCGTTTCACAGCTTGTTCTGTACACCTCGATGTTGGTTGGTTCTTATTGACCTTAGATTTGTCATTTACTTCTTTGTTTTGGTTTGATCCTTGTTCCTATATTTGCGCATACTTTTCCTGATTGGTTGGTAAATTGGATCGATTCCAATGTGTGTTGATTGCTGATTGACCTGAGTGCCAGGCTTCTAAAAATTCTCTGGTGTTTTTGGAATTTCCTCTGTCCAAGATTTCCACATTTTCCCAATCGAATGAGTGTCCACAGTTGTCCACGTGTATTGATGTGAGTAAGGAGATATCATGACGTTTGACTGCTAATTGATGTTCATGTAGGCGAAGGTGAAGGGGGCGTCCGCTTTGTCCGATGTAGTGTTTGTCGCAGTTGGCACAATTTATTTTGTAGACAATGTTTGATTTATCTTCTTTTGTTATTTCATCCTTTGGTTTGCATAGGATTGATTGTAGTGATTTTGTCGGTTTGTGTGCAGGTTTTTAGCAGTCTCGTTGAGGATGACGAATGTGTCGTCTACATAGCGAATCAAAATTTTTGGCTTGATAACTGGTAATATAGCGGCTTCTAGTCTTTGCATCACTTCTGCGATCAGTGTGACCCCATTGGTGTCCCTTTCGTTTGTTTGTAGATTTTGTTGCTGAATTGAAAATATGTTGTTAGGCATAAATCGTTGAATTTGAAGCTTCGTGTACTCTGTGTCGTTGGTGAGGAGCAGGGATATAGTTTCTTTTGCTAACCTTGGTTCAATTGAGGTGAATAGCGCTGTTACATCCAAGAATATCATCAGTTCGTCTTTGTTGATTTGAATGTCCTTAATTTGGTCCAGGAAATGTGTAGGGGATTTGATGGAGTTGTTTGATGAATCGACTAAATGTTTCAGTATTCATAGAATTTCTTTTGACAAATTGTATGTTCGGACCTCTGACTAAGTAGTTGAAATTCAAGTTCCTTAACTACAGCTTCACGGAATTTAGGGTTACAAGCCCTATAAGTCGTTCACTGCCTGTTTATCAAGATCGCAATTTTTTCCTTATGGTTACTATTGATTTTTTTGCGATCAATAAACGTCGTTGGTAACACTGTGGGCTACTACCCTTTGGATAGCGAAATATGAACTGAAAGAATATTGTTTTGTTCGGAGCTCACCACAACAGGTTCTTGACTTCAAACAATAACCAATTAGTCATGTTGTCTATCAATTTACATTATCTAAGGGTTTTCATTTTCCATATCGACTATTTAATCAGCAATGAAGTGTGTAGAGTGAGATAGCTCTTTCATAACCAGCTTTTTCTGTCTAGAGTGAATAAACTAAGTACTCACTTTCGGGTGTTATATTCTCTGAGCTGGATGGTTTATTTGCAGAGGTAGCATCCCACCCACACATGATGCAAATTAGGTTATTTTATGCAGAAGGACAAATGCTACCTTAGCTTCACTAATTATTGTAATCTTAGTAAAACGTACTTTCTTAACATAGTTCAGTTTCATTTGACGATGCACAACCACGCAGTAATATACAATTTATTTGTTTAAAAAAATCAACACTTAAACATAAATAACTACGACATAACATACTGAATACATATCAATTCAAAGTTGATCTGATATTTACGCTAAAGCTTATCCAGATGGATGTTTTTTGGACATCAGATTCTGAATTACTAAGAAATTCAAGATATGTAATCTGGTTGTTTTGCTTCGTTTTTATTTGAATGTTTTTTGCTTATACTATTTATCTGAACTATCCATTGTTTTTTTAATTTAGATTACAAAGAGACGACTTGTAACATACATGATGATAGAATACAACAGTTCAATTTTATGGATGAGATCTTAAAATTTGTAGCTATTTTTAAAATAAGTTTGTTTATAGAAATATGTGATCTTTTGTTTTTTGAATGGTATTTTCAGGAGTTTTTAGGACAAAATGGATAGATCGTTATTCTGAAGATTATGATTCAGTCTAAATGATTGTATGTTGTTGTTTGTGGTACTTATCAGACATGCTCGTTCCTTTAAAGAAACGGATATGTCGTGTAACAGCTTAGCCTAATATAGAATAATTACCTAGAATGAATTAAACTACAATGGTTGAATGTGATTAATCGATAGGTAAATAATCTTGAGATTAAACATGTTCTGGGAAGGAACGTAATCTAATTAGAGCATGAACCAAAATTACGCATAGAACGTATAAAATAGGACAAGGACATTTCGATTATCCCACCAAGCTATTGTATCTAAACGCTTAGAGCACTGTGAAACAAATGTAAAGTGTTCGGCAGCGGTAGTTTCTTACTTATCAAAAAGAAAACTGTCAACACTTAAGACTGGTTCTTGATGGAATTTGTATCCACACAAAGGTCAGAATCTCAAGCTTTTGACTACCAAGTTCTTATGTAAGATTTTAGACTACTTAATTGTTTTACGTAGTATAGACTTACATACGTTAACGATGCTACCTTACATCTCGACTTACTGGTTGACAAAAATCTTATTTGTTTCGCATATGAGCCGTACAGTTAGGAAAGTATGTCCCTCGAGTTTTCCAACGATAGCTTATATGTGAATCAGTAACATAAGCATTTGTTTTGTTAATGCCTTCATGGAATACGTACTTAAAATAGGAAACAAAGAATCTTATCTAGTCTGTAATTAACAATTCTTCGTGGTCATCAACCTAGATCGATCTATTTCTAATATACTATCCTTATATTATTTATGACTATTCTAACCAGATAAAACTAAATAACTCATCGAACGTCTCGCTAATTATACGGTGATCGCTAAATGATCTTATGAAGCACGTTATAATAATATATAACATAACTTTTTTTTTTATTTATTTTATTTTAATACATAAATATCGGTACAAGAAGGCACCAAATACATATGCGCCACACAGATCTCATTTGATATGTGTGAGGGCTGTGATACTGCCCGGGTGCTAAAACCGAAGCAGGTGGTTTTCTTAGGGGGCCACACCCCGAGCCTTCGACCTGAAGATCTGATCCACAAGGCAGTGGAGCATCGTGAGGAGATGCAGTCCCATGGTAGCCGGTGACCAACGATTGGTTCATACGCCATTTGTTCCCGCAGGATACTGGAGCCCATGTGCACCATTGGTTTGGGATCCGGTTAAATCGCCGGACATTCGCTTTTCGTCCTCTCATTTTTGTAAACAACACCCCCGCCACGAGAAGGCAGTGAGTAGGACTTCCCTGGCAGGGGCTGTATACACGTGGCCATATGAGAGCATTTCGAGAGGGGGAGCGGACTCCCCCCACTCTCGGCCGTACCAGGGCATTTGGGGGCATAACATAACTTGGATCGTCATGTTGATGGACATTTCACTTTTTATGTGGTCAAATGTCTCAGTACTTTGTTTACAAAGTACATAAATAGCCTTATTGAAGTGGCATGACATGAACTCAATCTAGATAGACTGTTTGTCACGTACAGAAAAGCAACTAGACTCATTAAACTGCTTATAAACGACTGAGTTATTTACAAAGTTCTCCTTTAGGTAAGATATTTGCTCTTTCAAATGAGATATTCAAACTACAAATTATGATGCATAACAGATATCCTATTTATTGAAGGCATTGTGCTATCATTACCACAAATACCTTCCCAAAACATTATGGATTCTTTAATTTATCAAAATAATATTGGTCTAGACATTGTCTCTACTTTTTCAAAAACTTCAATTTCTGAACTAGCCATTAAGTCAAAACTGGTTCATAAAACATCTATATACACCGCATTTCGACGTTGTAGTTCTTTGGAATGCTTTTACTAAAGTAAAAAATCTTACAAACTAACTACTCAGTTCCCACAATAACGTTTTAGGCAATGCTTCTTTATACCCGAATGATTCTGTTCAGCTTATTTAACAACGTACATAGTAAACATCTAGGATTTTCGAAAATTGTTTCACATTTACTTGTGTCGTGAAATCAATACTTTTTCGACAAATCTCAGGAATCTTTATTATTGATAACTGCCTCTATACATCATTAGTTTTCCTATATTACAAAAAATAATTTGGTTTTATATTTGATTCAATAATATGACTAAATAATAATTGGATCAGCTACTGAAGATGACGAAACAAACCAGAAAATCAACACTTTATATTGTCACTAATATTTGTCACAACAACAAATTTTTAAACCTAGAAATATTTTTTGTTAGGGACAAAGAGGAAACATGATTGATTAAGTGTGCAGTTAGATTATGTAATGAAGAAGACTATGCGTATGTAATATCAAACAACATGGTTAGAAAGTCAACAGGTTCAATGAAGAATCTGAAGACTACCTTTTTTTTAAAAAAGAAAAAATCTATTCAGCAAGCACGATGATAAACAGGAAGAAGTATTCCAGTAGGCTATAACCATACGAGGATTGTATCATGTCCATCTTTGAGGTTCA